GAGGGATTTGGGAGTACAGTGAAACGGGAGCAGAAGGGAAGGTTGTATAGTGTGAGAAATCAAGGGGAGAGCTGATACGCTTATCTAAAGAGGTGCGTTTAGAGAGTTTTATTTAAAGTCTTGTAGGGATGGCGAGAGCCTGAATGGTGTGGGAGAGATTTCCATAATGCAGTCACTTAAGTTGAGATCCTGGAATGCTAAATAGTGTATCTGCTTGTTTGAAAGTGAATTCTCAGATAGAAAGGTCAGGGATAGATTTTTTTTAAAGCTCTTTTGCTGCTTGATAAGAATGTAAATACTTTAATGTCCATAGTCAGGAGGAACCTATGCACCTTATGTAGAATTGGCAAGGCTTAGAATTTCTTTCAGGTTTGTATTGCAGTGTCTTCATTGAGGACATTTTGGCTGGAGTTTGCCTTCAAATGTATGTAGTTCAAAGATGTTCAAATCCATATATAGATGTTTAGGCTATAGTGGAAAGGTTACCCCAGTTTCTGCCATGTGTATCCCATTGGGAAGATCTCCTTCAACATTCTGTCCTGTAGACACAACAAGAAATGAGAGAAAATTTCTCCAAAGTGAGGGAAATTACTTCATAAGACTGCTGTCACTGGAACCAATGTCTCTTTTGGGAGATTTCCCCTCTTGAGTTGTCAACATAACAAGAATACATTCTTGGACTTTCCCATCACTTTAAAGTTCTTGAGTCCTGGGAACAATGGACACCAGGACAAGTACAGAAACCGAGACAATAAAACCTGACAGGGTTCAACCCCTCTCATCACTGCGCCCAAGACAAAAAAGAAAAAAAGTTTGAGTTTTAAACATACTTTAAAGAATAAGCGTCCTTTTAATATAAAGCACAATTCTGCCTGAAGGCGACAGCTGTGGCATTCTGCAATGTTTACAGCCTTAGGAGATGACCACATGATAATCTATGAGGGTTTATTTTAAAGAGTATACAATGGAAAGAGGATTTTGTCTGTGGGCCGCATACCTTGTGACAGACCTTGGCCATCAACTTCAGTGTGTATATAAGGTTGTGAGACTTTTTATCAGGGGGGCTAGGCAGGCAGGAAAAGTGTAGCTTATTTGAAAATACACTTACCCTATAAGCACACTTATTGATCCTTTTTAAAAGGGCCTCTATAATTAGGCGGTACCCAGCCCCCATTCTAGGCCTCAGTGTTGAAGCACAGCCTGATCCAGCAGCTGCGAGCCAATTCACGTGAAGTCCACAACATTAAGAATAGGGGTACAGCTAACATTTCTCATTATTAGATTTTTTTTTCACTGAGGCTTTCAATTTCACATCATGCAAAATCTAAAATAAAACCTAAATAATTAAAAGACGACACATAATATACAATGAATCATTTTCTTTATTTTGATATACAATTAATAGAACACACAATGGGGACCATGCCGACAATAACATAAAGCATAAAATAATATTTACTCTAAAAAACTTACTTAAGGGGGTCTTGGTGGGAATACCTAAACATTACCAGAATGTAGGCCAGGAAATAACAAGTACAACATTCTGGATTAGTTTGTAATCAGGGAGAAATACAGATACACGAGAGGCACTAAAAAAATACATGCTTACCTGTGTGTTAAATCAGCCACAGAATCTATATAATGCAATGTCAGAAATCACAGCAATGAGTTGGCAACCATGTACATTAATGCATAGTACACCATCCGGAGGGGAAGATGCAGAGAAAAAAGACAAGCCTGGGAACCGTATATAAAAAATATTCTATACAAAGTTTGCAAAACCGACTTTAAGAAGCAGAATATAACAGCTAGTACTGCAGGAGCATGCAATCAAATGCTCATGCAGTGACTGATATAAGTTACCTTATGGTCAGTAATGTACTCTTCAGTATTGGTCACAAAATACTCAGTGTGATGATGAACAGGATTCAGTTCTAAAGTAATCCTCCTCTTACTGTGCACTACTTAGAAGAAAGGTCGCTTGAAATACAGATACAGTTCTTGGGTGGGTTATGATTGTATATGGCCACTTTAAGGCTACTGTATGTACATGGGGGAATGAGTTGTATACAAGTCGTCTGTACTGCTCTTGAAGAGTTACCATCACTTTCTGTCTGACAAAACATTGTCAGCAAGACAGGAAGTTAGTGTGAATGTCTCTAACAGAGCCCTGGATAGCGGGGAGGATCCAACAGGGGTTCTAACCCTTTCCCATTCTAGCCAAAACCAAGGCTTTACATCCACTTTGAGTGATATTTCAACATGGCCATCAAGGTAGGTGGGGTGTCTCAATGTTACTACATAGACTAAAATTAATCAAGTGTCTTTTTGTAATTAAATTGTTACATTTAGAGAAAAATATGTGTGCGTTAAAACCCCCCTACCTACATTTTGACAGGCTTGAAATCTTATTTGCTGTTCCATGGGGCATAAAGTGACCCCCCCCTCCCCCATGAGGTTGTATGGTAGAATAACAATAGAGGGTTTGTTAAACTTCCCTTTTCTGGGTGATACACGAACTTAAAGAAAAGAACTGCCATTTTACATAAAAAGGTCCATTAAAATATAAAACTAAAACCTACTAGTTTTTAGAAATGTGAGAAGAATGGGAATGTTCACCTCACTATTTTTGGTCAGCTACTGATTTAATACTCCTCTGAATAGTAAGTGACTTGTAATACATTTGTTCATATAGACTACAGTACTTAACACTTTTAACATGCTTCTTTGGTGCATTGCAATAATTTTTTACATTTTAGTAATACTTTTTGTAACGGTGTTCCTACATGCCAAAATGATCAGTGCAGGCCAATGATTTTACATGGAAATATCAACTTTGACTGTAAAAGTCGGTCTCGACCCACTCTACTTATACAGTACGTAAGCCTCCCTATTGGTCCCAAGCTTGATATTTACAGGAAATGTTAATATTTGCATCATTTTGGCTTCTTATATCTCTTGATCTACCTAATGTTTTGTTATATGGTTTACACTTAAGGTAGCCTGCCTGTGTGCTTTTTCATCATATGTTCAGACTGAATGGCTCAGTTTGGTGGCAGATTTACTTTAAACAAGAAAAGGTAAACAGTACAGTAAATGAGAAAAGAATGACAACAAAACAGCAATAAAATCAGGCTTATTCCACATGCAGGAGAAGAGCATCACCCCATTCACACCAATCTGAACATGGGGATCTGACCTCTATGGGCTACTGGCCTTTTACACCATCACTGCCCTCAACTCTGCTTTAGTGAGTAAGCCAATTTAGTCTTTATTGGATAAGGCAAAGAGCAGCAGGCAAAGTTAAGCAACCTACATCAACCAATCAGATACCATTTTGCCTGCTATAGGTAACCGCATATCATTACTCTTTGGGCTTGAAGTTAAATAAGGATTGTAGTGATAAAAAAACAGTAAGGACTTACATAGACTGCTGTATATAAAAGGCAGGTAGTTAGATACCTTCAGCCATCATAACATTTAGAGTTCAGCAAAGCTTTCTAGACAAAAATGCATAATCGTATAAAACAAGCAATCTGTACACAATTCAAGTTATTCAGTAGAAGTTGCAATATAGTAAAATGTACAAAAATGGCAAAGCTTAGAATAGTAGCTCACAATATAAAACCGTAATAAATGAACCAGCATAATTTAGACCCAACTGGTCCTAAAGGTGCTGCGCAGCAGCCATTATTATGCATCACTAAGTATAGCTTCCTGATGGAAATTTAGGAGAAAACATCCAATGTGCCTGATTTAGAAACACCATAAAGTCCGCCGGATTGTGTATGCATAATACAAAAGGAGTACACAAAACTACAGAACATATTGGAACAAAAGTATATAGGTGATTAAGTGGCTGCATGCAAAAAAAATATTTTTGGAAGCTTCAATGGACAGTTATGATTTTTGCACTCAGTACTTATAAAGGCAGTTAGTGGATGTGTGTACAGAATGGACGACATTCAGAATACTAAAATACTGATTTTTACTTGTCCTGCGTGAATAATGTCAAGATTAGCCAAATAGTTTATACCAGATAGAGAAACAAACAGTACCCACGGCTATTTTTTTTCACAATAAAATTGCAAGGAGCCATGAAGATGGGCTGTGTCATGTGACGGTCTACTCTGAGTAACTGCAGGGTGCATATTACTCCTTGAGCTCCATGTATAACATTTCTGCTTGGCTACTGTTCGCATGGCAGATGGTGCCAAAAAGTCCAGGAAATTCCTAATTCAACCCCACCACCAAGCAAGTGGAACTCCCTTACTAACCAAGAGTTGTGATATGACTTCTAGAAATTAGGGTCATTGCTCTCAGGAGTAAAGGGTAATAAGGGGGCCCTTTCATTGGTTTATGTTGCTCTGGGCACCATTTTTATTAAAGGGTCCTTTATAATAGAAAGTTTATTTTAACACGCCTATTAAAAATAATGTAAAATATTCAAAAATCGCTTTACTATATGGGGGTTTCTGGTGCAAATTAAAAGCTTTGCTCACTGTTTGAATTCTTTGGAGAAACACTTCATGGTCCTAGTCCCAACATGCTTGTTATGCATGTCACTTAGCACACTGAAGTCTGACCACTCAGATGTGATGACTCTCAAAGCATCACTGCATCTGAATGGATTGATCACAATACCTGACCAGCAGGTGGTGCTGTAGGCGTAAAGTCTCCTGGACTCAAGTCAGTTGTCCAAGGGGAACTGGCAGGCGAACACTTTGAATGTAATGTCCTCACTGGCAGTCTGAATGAGATTCATATTAACTGAGGAAAAATGAGCAACACACATTAACATGAAGCAAAACATTTTTGGAAGAATATTTAACACCGTCTTGTGTTACGGAATACAAAAATTTTTTTACAAAGTGCAAATTGAAAAGCTGGAGTGATGAATGAATTGCAACTTCTTCATTCAGCCTCCTCATAATAATTCACCTAATCGTTTTCAACCAGGACTGAGTTGCCAAGCAGATTCCTTTTACACAGATCGGGTCTGGGCGTTGATGCAAAGATCCCAAAATCTTTCAGGAGCAGATTACCTCCTTTGTTGTACTTCACATATTAGCACCAGGCACATAATACAAGTATATTTTAACAATAATCTGACTGTGAAACCACTTGAGCAATGAAGTTTCAGTCTCTTTGGTCTAATAATAAGGTTAACATGCTGTGCATCCGTCTCAAACAGAAAGAGCGTCTTCATCCTCTGTTGCTGTGCCGCCCCCTGCTGGCACAACATGAAATGAGGTATTGTTATGGCGTGCAATCTTTGGAGTATACCAATGTTTAATGGCACGTAAACGCTCTTCGGCGGTCATCACATCTAGCTGCTTAGCCTTCTGCTGTGGAGTGGGGAACAATGACCCTTGAAATGTCCTGTAAACATACCTAAAATAAAATATGAAACAGCAAAAAGTTAAGGTTTGGATAGATTTTATCCCTCATTTTAAAATGAAGATTTGCCATCTTATACAGAACATCTAGAATTTCATCAAATTCATTTATTTCTATAGCATTTTCTCCCTGGTTACTCAAAGTGCTTTATCAGCTGTTGGGACAGATGAAGAGGCAGCCATCTTGGGCGTGATCAGTATATCATACTAGGACAAGTTTTAGAGAAGAGCCAATTAACTCATCATTGTCTTTTTTAGTGTGGAAGGAAACTGGAGTACCCAGAGGAAATCCATGCAAGCACAGGGAGGACATGCAAACTCCATGCAGATAAGTTTTGGAAATCGAACAGAGGATCCCAGTACTGCAAGGCAGAAGTGTTCTGCTTCCTTCATTCTGTGGATCTGCGCTTCTGGCACCTCTCCATCTACTTCCTGATTTTACCCCCACCAGCTATTAGATCACCAGTCATCAGGCCAGCAGCTCTGACATGAGGAAGCAAAGCCCTGCTCTACAAAGATGGCCGCCTCCCTACAGACAGTATACAACAAGGCATAGCAAGTCAGTATAAGGGAAAGTTTAGCTGCAGGGAGCTCACACCCAACACTGACTAATCATTTATCATCTGCTTGCCATTTGTGGGTCCATAGTTCAGGTCCTCTTTAAACATAAATATGTCATTGACCAGTTGCAAATACAAAACATATCAGAAATACAACATAGAGGACTAACATGCATGTATCAAGATTAAAACCTTTTATTATAACCTGCACAATGGCAGATTTCTTTTTTTTTTTTAGCTTACTGGCTATGAGAAACTAACAGTAATTGACTATCACATGCTACAGAGCAATTCCAGGTAACAGGGCACATTCTTGCAACAGTAAGATCAGACGATGTACCATATTTACCTATATCTTGTTTTGTATCTACATCGTGTTTTGTATCTACATCGTGTTTTGTATCTGAATTTAACGCAAGAATATCTTGCAGCCAGAAACAGCCGTGTTTCACAGTATCTCTGGTTGGGACTGAAGCCTCTTGCCACTTATTCTATTCAGTGTAACCTATATTCTGAATCTGAATAGATTTGTATAGACTGCAGAAAAAGCTAGAAGGGATGAAGATGACTATCACTGGCTTGTACAAGGGCAGGCTCCAGATAGAAGGGGTTTCCTGGACATCAGTTAACTGTTACCCCGAATAGTTGCCACAACACATTTGATTTACGTTACAGTTAAACAATGTCAGGATAAAACAAAACCCACAAACCTTGAGCTGGTAGGCTCAGTCACTGGTATTTTTGGTTGGCATGTACCTTTGAGTTAGTGTCCACTTTGTTGCTTAGGCTTCATTTACATTACGTGTCAATGTGTGTTCAAGGATTCCTGCGGCTGCAACCTACAAATTCCTGGGGCAGGAATCCCAAAAAAGCGGTTTAGAAGCAGCCGCTGTGACCTGTTCAAGTTAATGATCAGGTGACATCGGCCGCATTTGAGAGTGGCAGTCCGCTGGCACTCTGCAAGTAATTGTATGTGATACGACTAAATGTGGTTAGGAATAGACCACTGTCCTTAATTGCATCTATCATGCGTCCAGGGACAGTAATCTATCCCTAACCGCATGTAATCATATCACATGCTATTACATGTGGAATGCCACTGTCAAATGCGGCCGCTGTCACCCGATCATTAACTTGAAACACTTGCATCACTGTTCAGAAAAGCAAAAAGACTCACCGCTCCAATTCCACCAGACTGCAGATCAATACAGACATCAGGTGCAGGCTGCAGTGTGCTCCCACTTGTCACACAATATTTCTCCAATCAGCCACATGAAACTGAGGTCCATAAAAATCCAACTTTATTGTTGTAAATTCCATGCAAAGTTCTATTGAATCATTCAAAAAGCATCTAGATACGTTCCTCAGAGACCGCAACATACAGGGGTACTGTCACAGACTTACCCGGCGTGTCCCCGCGCTCCAGCGAAGGGTCGTCTCGTGCGTGACATCACGGCGGCTCCTCCCACGGGGTGCGGCTAACAGGGTAAAGGGTCAGCTGGTTCGTCACTCGGCGTTCTCTCGTTGTGGAGAGTCGGGTGACGAACAGAGAACCCACAGGCTGTCCTTGGATACTGAAGGCAGATCGCTGCCCAGAGCCAATAGCTGACGTATCGATACTGCTACCCCGCTGTGAGCCCAGAACTATTCAGAGCACACAACCGCAAGTATTCTGGAAGTCATTCTAAATCTTGCCTAACCTGCTACATGTTATAGTGCTTGCTTGCATGCTGCCTATGTGTTGCAGTCTCACACGCACACCCACTAAGCATCCCCAGCTGATCCGGATTCCCTCTCCTTCAGTTAACTATTCCTGCTAAGAGACGTAGGACTGAGACTTTCTCTAAAACTGCATAGGGGTGCATTAAGTCTGATATTGGAGTTTATTTGAGCTATGCATATATTCCCTACATGCTTGCTACCTGCTGATAACGCTGCATAGTGGTGCAATAAGTCTGATATTGGATTATTATTTGAGCTATCCATATATATGCTACATGCTTTCTACCTACAGATAAAACTGCCTACATATCCGATGTATGCATCCGTTTTGTTCACTAGAGGTTAACCCTTAGCTACTCATACTGCTTGCCTCCCCATTTGATACTCCGCACGCTGGTACCGCGCATGTACAGCTTGCCACATATGAGCGTGGGGTAGGGGGTACTACCCATATATCATCTTAGCTTAATTCTCACCCCAGTAACAGGAAGTATATGATGAGTGCGGTCTCCCTATAGCAGTTAATGTAATTGGGAGCCGCTCACTGACCTTCCTTATTCAACAAACCCCCATCAGTTCCGCAGCTGTGATCCCGTTAGACACTTATCACTGGTCCAGCCTTGACAGGTACAGGTACTCTGATAAACAGGATCACGTGGGGACTCTTATATACACATACACACAAAGGTTGAACTTGATGGACCTGTGTCTTTATTCAACCTCAAATACTATGTAACTATGCAAGTTCAAAATACAAGGTATGCACCACCATAGTATCTCTCCCACGCTAAAGCGTTTCACCACCTGGGCTTAATCATAGAGGATTCTCTAATCTCTATGATTAAGCCCAGGTGGTGAGACATTTGAGAAGTGTTGGAGAGGGAGAGATACAATGGTGGTGAATACCTTGTATTTTGAACTTTGCATGGAATTTACAACAATAAAGTTGGGTTTTTTTGCACCTCGGTTTCGTGCGGCTTATTGGAGATATTACTTGTATCCCTGTTGTTCTGTACATGTAAACACTAATGTATTTGCATTGAAAAACATAAGGTAATGCTGCAAATTTCAGGAACCGACCTACTACTAATGGCATGTAGTGACCAAGAAATCACTGCACATAACAGAAGCATTTCATACACATACCTTGGAAAAAGTGCAACCACTACAGACATGAGACACACAAGATAGAACGCTGGGTCAGCCATATGTGTCTGCATCATCCAGTATATGTTAGCAGGAGGTACACAATTGACACATGCTGCCCCAAGAACCAAAGTGAAGACAAAGTAGGCGAGAACACTGAGACCCATCACTACCCAGTGAATCCATGTCTGAAATACAAATTGGAATGAAGACATATTTTAGAGAAATACAGACTTGGCAAATATACAGACATCTAGATAGCAAATCATCATCATGTTTACATGCTGGAGTGAAAAGCAACCAGTAGAATCAACCATAGAATCAAAAGGCCAATAGAGTCTTCCCTTTTAGGCCCATGTTGGATGAGCAGTTCTACAAAGGTTCGCTAGTGACAAAATTGATAAAGGTCAGTTTACTTTATCGAACAGAGTCCCTTGTCTGAACCTGCTTTCAAGAAGAACTCCAGGCAGACATGTTATACACCCTTGCCATGGGGCTACCACCTCACTACAAGGGTTAACTGCTTGTTTTTGCCTAGTCCCTGGAGCGTCTCTCCCTCTTCTCTGCACCAGAGTCCTGTGAGTCATCACGTCCAATACAGTGTATTGGAGGAGGAGACAGGCTGGAGGGAGCGTTGCCGGCTCTGGGGATAAGGGGAGTATAACAGTTTTTTTTTTTTCTTACCCTAGGCTAAAATGAGCAGTTAACCCTTGCAGTGCGGGGGTAGCCCCACTGCAAGGGTTAATAACATTTCTGCATGGAGTTCTGCTTTAAGTTGCTAGGTTGTTGCTTCTACAGCATCAGAGTGAGCTAGTGATGAAGAAAGTGGAATTGCTGTGTTTCGCCTACTGACAAAGTGTTGCTAGCAAATTTCCAATCTCACTTTCCAAAAGCCTCTAAAGACAACACAGCCAGACAGGGTGGCACTAAAAGTAAGAAAGCTTATAGTGCGGTGCTATCACCAATGACAACAGCAATTTCTACTAAACACTAAAACAAACAACCACCTAATATCATGAACTACCATAATAGTGCTATACAATCTATTCCAAAGTCCATGTCATAACCAATCACTAAAAACTTCATACCCTTGGAAAAGTGATCCAACAATTAATGACTAGTGCTATACAGATGTATTCCAACTATCAGTGTGCTTAACCGTGGAAATAGAAATCCTTTGTGAAATGATGGTATCCAAAACCTCCACGTTTGCCTCTCAACAGGTGGTTGGACCCAGTGTTAAACTAAGGTCAGAATTTGCTTGTGTTCCTTCTATGGGGAATTTGTGTAGTGCTCTTCCTCTAGAACCTTGATTTGTGCAGATGAATAATCTGAGATCTGGTTTGTGCTTCTTTCCCTTCTATGAGGGATTGCTGAAGTGATGTTTATCTGATGATTCAATCCATCTCATGGAGTGTCATTTTCAGAAAAGAACATATAACACAACCATAGTGCTCTCCGTCTAAAATTGCTTCATTAAAACAAACTAAAAATGACCACTAACATTAAAATCAATGTGCAAAGAAATGCGCTATAAAGCATGTATGAAACAGCGTTCGCTATAGCGGTTACCAGTTAAGTTGCTGTAACGAGATGATGTCATGCCCAAAACTCTGCCCAAGGCATTGTGTCCATTGACTTCTTCAGGGGTACTGGAGAGCACTGTGGTTCTGTTATATGTTCTTTTCTGAGAATGACACTCCATAAATTGGATTGAATCATCAGAGGAACATTACTTCAGCAAACCCCCAGAGGGGGATTGCCAGGTGAGATACAAAGGGTGGAGGTATTGGATAACATCACTTCACAAAGAATTTATATTTTCACGGTTAAAGGAGAACAATGAGGTGAGTGCTTTCCACTAACCTCATAGTTCTAGCCGACCTGTGACAATGAGACTGTCACAGGTCGGCACGTAGCTCGCGGTATACTGAGCCTACGGTGACGGGAGGACGCTAGTTTGTGTCCTCCCGTTACCCTAAGGAGAACTATGGGGAAAAGACTTAACCCTATAGTTCTCCTTTAAACACACTGATATCTGGAATACATCTGCATCACACTAGTCATTAATTGTTGGATCACCTTTGCAAGGTTATCAAGTTGTAAGTGACAGGTTGTCATTGGTGATAGCACTACACTATAAGCTTTCTTACTTGTTAGCAGTTGCACACTACAGTTAGGGAATCAATAGTGCAGAAGTTTGGTGGTGGTTTGCTATGAAAGGTGTGCAGCTTGTCTGGCAGAATAGCTATATCCTCTCATGAGAAACCTATATGCTTCTATGGACCTGTAATTGTAGTGTGCCCACAATGAGCACACAATTTGTGTTATTAGATCTGTTTGCTTTAAGAGATAACAATGCATTTATGTACGCTACATGCCTTAGCTAAGCAGGTGAGCTTCACCTCGAGCCATGGCCCAAGCTAAGCAATACTGAAGTCATGCTTTAAACCCGCCAGGCCACACAATATTGTGCATTTGTAAAAAAAATATGGCTGCCCTTATGTTCATACAGTATATATAAGACAAATTATCCATGGTAACCATGGTAAAAGGTAGGGATGCACCGATACCGGTATTTTGGTACCGAGTACGAGTACCGATAATTTTTTTTCGGTACTCGCCGATACCAATTGGTCAATGCTAAAGCCTGATGAAGGGACCCTGCGCGGTCCCAAAAGCGCTTGTTTGGTCATATGACAAAAAACTTCAATAAATTAAGCTTTTGCTATCTCAAAATGATTGGTGTGCTGGTGACATTTCTACAATTTTGTTGACATTCGCGGCGCCATCCGCGGTCACTGCGAGCACCCCCCACTACAAGGGACATATCGGTAAGGAGTGCGACAAGGATAGTACTTAATATTTTAAAATATATCTGCCACAGGACTGCCCTTGCTGGTCTCTGAAAACTGATGACGGATATATCTGTCAGAAACAAATCAACTAAGAAAAGTAGCACAATTGACACACTAAAAGCTTATTTGTTGTTGCAGTTATTTGACCAACAAAATTCCAAAAAGACAAAACACTGTAAAACATAATGCAAGAACAAATTAGCAAGGCTTCCACCCTGGGTTAAAGTCAAAAGTCTGCCAATAAAAAAAAAAGAAATGTAAATGAAATGTCATTGTAGAAAAGGCATGAAATAGAAACATTAACAGAACAGATGTCCGGGCTGGAAAACAAGACTTCCATGATCTTCCATCCAATGTCTTGCCCATCCATCCAGCAGCAGTCTGTGTTGTGTATTGACTCACCAGGCTCTTGCTTTCAATTAGAAGGTGTAGCAAAACCACAAACAGTGTTGCTGTTATGGTGAAGCTTCCAAAAGAAAAGATATCCATACCAGAGCCAAAATAAGTCTGCAAAAGAAAAGAGGACAATACTGACAGTTACAGGGAGCAGATTTATAGTTTTCCTTCAGTTGCATTAGGGATGTTTGTAGGTTTACTAGGTTATAAACAAGTAACTGATACCCTTTGTAATGCTATACCTGTGCTTTCCATCTCACATCTACAGGGATGAATACCGGACTGAATAAAACCGATGCTTTCTAGCTCACATCTACAGGGATGAATACCACACTGAATAAAACCGATGCTTTCCATCTCACATCTACAGGGATGAATACAGCACTGAATAAAACCGATGTTTTCCATCTCACATATACGGCCTGGTTCACACCAAATGCAGACCAGATCTGGTCAGGTTTCTGCACACGCAGTGCAGTGGGTTGTGCCACGTTTTAGACGCGTTTTTGATGCGCTTAGGGCCGGTTTTGGTTAAAACAATTTTTTTTTTTAAGTTTAACATGGGCTTTCAGGCACTTGCATGCGTTTTTGATGCGTTCCAGACCAGATCCAGAGCAGGTAAAATAGGGCTTGCCGCAGTATTTTCATCCGGTCTGGATCTGGTCTGGATCCGCACGCTGCGATGTGAACTGGAGGTCAAAATACCATAGGAATACATTGGATGCAGTTTTGATCCGGTCTGCACCTGCTCTGGTCTGCGCTTGGTGTGAACAAGGCCTACAGGGATGAATACCGCACTGAATAAAACCGATGCTTTCTATCTCACATCTACAGGGATCAAAGCCACACTTAATAAAACCGATGCTTTCTATCTCACATCTACAGGGATGAAGGCCGCCCTGAAAAAAATCTGTTTTCTATGCCACACTGAATTTTATCTGCTGCTTCTGCGTCTGAGAAACCAAATGACACCAATGTCACATACTCGTGATGTGTTGATGTACATTTCATTCAGTTTGAATAGGCTGTCAGCACACCACATCACATGATATATTCTCTGTAAGGCTGACCATACACCTATCAATTTTTGTTGTTTAACCCGCAGGCTGAACGAAAAGAAAATTTGCGGGCAGCTCATTGGCTGCAGGCCCTCATCGATTGAAAATTTTCCAGCCGGCTCCTTCGATCAGCTGATCGAGGAATGCTAAAGCACCATTGTCCTCCAACAGGGTTATTGGTCTGCTTGGGCAAAATGGAGGTTCAAGAAAGTTTCTGACTTTAAGTAGAACTGAAAGCTTTTTTTTTTTGTTTTGGAAAGAGTAAGGAAAGCTATAACCCCTGTCAGATTTTTTTTGCCATGTGTGTCCCATTGGGGAAATCCCTCCAAAGTGAGGCAAATCCCTGATGGTCAGTAGGGTCACCAGAAGTTGTGTCCCCATTGGAAGATTTCCCATCTCTTCCTGTTCTGGTGACAACCCACATTTTGGGTATTTTCGATGATAATGGTCATCAGGATAAATAGAGAGTGTGAATTTCCCTAATGGGGACACAGAAAGCAATAAGAACCTAACAGGTGTTCTAATCCCTCTCCACTTTAGCCACAACTGTTGCACTTTAGGTAGGAAACGCATGTACACAGGCAAAGGGAGAGGCAATAAGTGGATCCCATCACTCCAAACCCCCGAGAGGTATTTCTATAGTATTTCATTATAAACTCCACAACCAGAGCTACTGTCCATACAAAACCAACTCAGTATCATCTCCTTAATAAAAACATTTATACTCCACTCTATTAATCAGTCCTGTCAAGATAAAAGTAACATAAATAGGTGTGTGTATAAGAGAAAAAATAATGTAAGATGACTTCTACTCTCTGCAGACTACTTACAAAGTAAGGAATGAAGAAACATGCCAAGCTTTGGTAGAAAGCATCCACTATGGTGACCCAGAATGTCGACGACTTGTAAGCCTAGAAGAGTGGAAGAAGAATCACACAAAAGTAAAAATATGATATAAGGTAAATGGGTTTACATTGGTTTTATTTTTTGTCATTTAAACTGCCCCACCCCATAATCAATGTATGCAATATGACACTACCAGAGCTGCAGAAAGGAATTGCCTTGATCACCTTTGCTCTTCCAACCTATTTCAGGTGACTAACGCAGAGGTTTACAACCAAGGGTATGGAATTCCTATCGGCCGACGGCCGGGACATGCAGTTTCGGGCGCCAGACAAGTAGTTTTTTCAGTACATTAAAGCCCTGCTTCGGACAAGCAGAGCTAATGTACAGCAGGGAGAGGCTGCACGTTTTATACAACTGATCTGATCAGTAATGACCCGCCACCGGGTTTCCTGATTGGCTGAGGAGCCGGCTTCCGGGCCAATAAGCATTGAGCCGACATCCTGGCCAGCCAGTTCATTACTCACCACCCGGCTTCCTGATTGGCTCGCCGTTGACTCGATGCTGATTGGATGGGAAGCCGGTTTCCAAGCCAATCACAACCAAGCCGGCCAAAAAACATGGAGCCGTCTTCCATGGCAATCAGGAAGCCGGGTGGCATGTCATTACCCGCTGCCCCAGCTTCCCGATTGACCGGGAAGCCAGCTACATGCCAACGGAAGCATCGGTCTCGGTATCGGCAAGTACCAAAAGCCAAATATCGGTACTTGAGAGAAGTAGATTGTCATGAAGGACAAGAACGGGCCCCCACTTTAGCACTTGAGCAACAAGTTTTTTTTTTACATTTCCACACCCCTGTACATCAGCCCACTTTGAACTATACATTATATTGGACATGATGACTGAAGGATCCCTAGACTGCTGCAGCGGAGGGGGAGAGAGGCTCCACGGACTGGTCCGTGTTTTTTTTATTAATACAGTGAAATACTCACTGGTGCAGTGCATGTTCAGTAAATGTCCTTAAAAAGTGAACAAGGTATGACAATAATGTGAGAGACCACTAAGCTGCTCTCACCTCTGATGTTTGTCCTGACTTGTAGAGCTCTGGAAGCACAATAAGGGTGTCTGCAGACAAATCTTGATCGAGAATACCATAAATTATAGGTGGCACAGATGTGAAGATCAGATTAAACAAAATGAGCATCCAAAAATCGGTCAATGCTGTTCCAGAGAAACCGCAGAAGAACTGGTACCAGAACAGAAGATTCACGAAAATCTGAAGGAACAAAACCACAATGTAAATGCACCAGAGTTCCTATATCTGAATATACAAAATTATTCACTATATATCATTATTTCACCAAAAGTGCCATCATCATCAGTCTTCAGAAGAACCCGATGCAAAGTTTGTGAGCAGTGCACATCAAGGCATAGTGTGGGGGAACACTCAGAAGGGAATTTATCAAAAATGGAGCAGACAAAATCTGGAGCAGCTGTGCATGGCATCGGCTTCTCTCTTTCATTTTCAAATCTTAACAAAAAGTGAGAAAGAGAAGCTGATTGGTTGCCATGCACAGCTGCTCCAGATTCTGTCTGCTACAGGTTTGATAAATTCCCCCCTTAGTGTTCATGTGTGTCACAAGAAAAACTGAAACGATCATTGGACCTACACTCTAATGTTAATAGTCTTTATGGGGTTGATAAGTTACAGAAGGCTTAACATGTACATCTTTCCTGGAGAACATGCGGATCTCTCCATGCCTAGGCATTTGGTCATGTGTTCAGGCAACTTGAACTTGGATTATTCCCTTCAGAAAAGATCACGTGACCAAATATTTAGGCATTGGGCAAAAGAGAGCCTGTACAAGGATCTGCCTTCAACTTATACTAAACAAGCAAGTTGAGTTCCAACCACATCCCCCACAACAATATAAAATCTTGCCATTCTGATATGTCACACTTGACTTGGGTAGATAAGCAATAACTAGAGTAAAATGATCTCATAAAAAAAAAAAGATAGAAGATTTGCTTGTAGTCCCCGATAGCCAAATTGCTGTGTTGTTTTGGCAGAATCTCCCATACATTTTAAATATCTTGAGGACTCCTGCAGAATCATTTCCTTAAAAATTCCCGGGTCCCCCTATTGGCAGCAGACAGTACAAGATAATATTGCTATTTTCATTTCACATTATTTCCGATGGGAAACGGGGACTCTACTGTGTGGGAGGCCAACATCTTTTTTTTATACTTGTGTGTGGTCCCACCTTAAAATTTTTACCAGATCCCTATCTAGGATAAGGGACTTGTATGGACTTTGGGGGGACCATAGCATTATTTTACATTTTAGACTTGGGTGCCTTGAAATTTTGCATACTTTTAAAGGGTGCGGTGACTGAAAAAAAGGTTGAGAAACACCACCATAGAATGTTAACCTGCCATACATTAGTAGATTTTTTCCTTTAGCCCACAGACTAACAAAAAACTGATTTCTCCATTCATGCTAAACAACATGCATGGAGGAATCTACTGATGAGACTATTGTATTCTGACAGTGGCTGCAGTCACTGTTTGGTTCCTGCTGTTTCGACAAAACTCAAATTACTTTTGTCGAATCAGCAGGGCCCCACACTTAAAGTGACACTTAACTCAGGTGTTGAATATTAAAAATGCATTCAAAGTACCTTAACTATTTACCAAAAATGTATCTTATTGGTGTATCACTCAGCCGTAGATCCCCAAATTATCAATGAATTGGTGCAGACACTGTCCTTCCTTCTGGAGGGTGGCTACTTTGGTTCCGTGTGTGTGTTTTAAAGTAGCCACGGTTCCAAGCTCGCTGCCAGGATGGACTACAATCTCGTGATTAGTTTGCTAATTTGTATTCAGATTGTAGTCCATCACGGGAGTGAGCTTGGAGCGGTGACTACTTTACAACACACACAGGGACCATGAGGAACAGAAGTAGCCACCCTCCAGAAGGAAGGACAGAGTAAGCACCAATTCAGAGATGATTTGAGGATCTATAGCCGAGTGATACACTAATAAGATACATTTTTGTTAATAATTAAGGTACTCAAATGCATTTTTAAGGTTTAACTCATGAGTACAGTGTCACTTTAAGTCATTAAGATGTGATTTTCCAACCAATGTTTAAATGGTTTTCCTGAATTCCTGGAATGGTTAAGTTCTGGCATTAAGAGAGATAACCCGGCATGAATTATCAATCAGAAAAGCGATATCATTCATAAAAGCAAATACTGGAAAAAAATAAACTATTTTTTTTTTACTTACAACATTTTTGTAGAAAAAGTACAGAATCATATTGGCAAGGCGAACATAACACCAGTGACCATGAACAAGCAGCAACTTCCTCAGGTGTTTGAAGCGAGACACCGCAAAGTCACTTGACATCACAGCCTGCAATACACAAACAGAACGAGCAATGAATAGAACATGTGATAGTCTGCTCCACTGCATTATATAAATAACGGATTGTACTGTCACTACCTATAAATAAATGGAATAAATATGATAATTTATGTTGTATTTATGTCTAAACCTACAAGTCTAGCTTCATTTAAATTACAAATGTAGCCACCATACAGCCTAACCTGAATGATTACATGAATGAGTACATGCTTCTTATATAACCCGATCTAATTGTTACACAAAGCACATGTACACAATACACACACCTGCTAATCACATATTCAGACTAATAATGTTATGCAATTTTCCCCTTGATGGCCATTAACTGTCACAATAAATCACAAACAAGAATAAAGGCATGGACACAAAGATGAGCATGTGATTATGCGCATGTGTGGGTTTGTTTATTTGTCTGCTATAAAGGATATCAAAATGCACATCTCATTTCCAGGATGGAGACATGATTGGTTTCCACATGGATGTGCAACCCCAGGCAACGCATACATAAACATGATCATTCTGCAATTAGAGTAAATTGATCAATGTGCAAAGGCCACGGACCCAATACTCTGAGAATAACGAGAAGATATGTTACTAAGTCCCTACTAACGCAGATCAGAAGTTAAGACTTGTTACTGACCGAGAAAGTATTGAAGCCAGGGACAGTCTGGCAACTATTATTCTTGGAAAGGTCAGCAATAGCATCCCCCATATTTATCTCAGTACATGTCTGCTCTAAAGCAGTGGCAAACCACTTGGTGCTGGGTGGGGTTTTGCCATAATGCGGAAGTGTGCCCAGGACACTTACATGTTTGCCAATCTCCAGCTCTGTGCAGTGCATTCTGTCCCCCACTGCTGCCATCTCAGCCATTTTCGGGTTCCCAGGATCTTCTTTGGCCATAGGGTGGACACTGATGATGTAACTACTGTATAACGCGTGCACAGGAGATACATCCTCCACAGCACCAGGTCCATTCATGGAATCTTAGGGAGGCTATGAATGAGCAGATAGTGTACATTGCTCAAAATACACGCCATACAGTATACACAGAAAATAAAACCGCTTGGCGAAAGAGGAAGAAGTTTTTTTGCAAACAAGACTTTGCATATGTCTTCTGCCAAAAATCCCTACCACCTAGCAATTTTTTGTAGGTACTTTCCTTTGGCTTCAAACCCACTTATTTCTCTCTACCCTTCACAACAATTATGTCTAGTTTGCATTTTGCATTGTCGTATGCTGATCCTATACAGCTTATCCACATTGGAAATCTATCCAAGATAATCCACATCGGTGCCAATGGCACTATTCGCACAGTAGCAATTGTAGAAACGATGCATACTGACAATATGGTGCACTGTAAGGCATCTCTGGAAAGAAACTTCCTGGAGATACAGAAAATATGCAGCTTGCTATGTTCTGTGTTAATTAGGGTTCTAATTGTAATACGTGATACAAATCAATAGTTTGATATTAGTTGGTAGCAGTTAAAAAGTACCTGCATGCCCTCCTGGCCAGAAATGCCAATCCCGACATCTGCTACCTGTATCATGCTCACATCATTGGCACCATCACCTTTAAACATAGACGTAAATAAGGTAAAGGAAAAGAAAAAAAGTTGTTTATACAAAAACCAGTAAAACTTATACTAACCGATGGCTAGAGTCATGACCTGCAAGTTAGTTTGGACCAGTTTAACCACTTGGCTTTTTTGCAGTGGAGTTGCCCTGCAGCAGATGACAGCTCTGCACTGCTGGGTGAGGTGGAGGAACCTTTCCTGGAGGGCTTCCTGCAGTGCGAACTCCAGGCTCTTTCCATCTATGACTAGGGCAAAGTGCTGTTCCTTCTTCAAAGGGTCACTTGAATTAACATGGCTTTCAATCTCAGCAATCATGTGATTCATCAACACTTTACAAGTTTCCTGAAGCAGATTATAGAGTGGAAATGAGTGTATAGCCATATACAGTACAATACAGAGCTCATGTTTAATCTCCAGTGTAGGTGAGGAAAGGTAATTGGTTGATGAACTGTAATTAGAACAGACAGTGTGCACTTATATAGGGGGCTGTTATTTATATATATACACACACACACATACACAGCGAGCAGTTGCAGGTGTACAGACTCTTCAGGCATACACATAGGGGATGATTTATAAATGATTCCCATAATCTGCACTCTACTGTGCTTTTTGCTGAATTGCAACAAGCTTTATTTCTGCCAGACAGATCAGACAGACATACTCTCATCAGATGTGACTCTACTCCCCCAATGCGCTTCACCCTGTTGGCCCACTGATTAAGCCCATTAGGTAAAAGGTGTCAGGGAGCAGAGCCTCATCTGACGAGGGAGAGAAGGAGCTGTCTGCCCCAACTGGTGCCAACAAAGCTTGATGCAGGTTAAATCAAAACACAGCGGGTACAGCTTATGCAATTTCAAGCCTATAAACAACTTCTCAGGACAGCTTCACACTCACAATGTCCAGTCTGCTCAGGGTCAGAATCTTGTCACCGTGTTCCAGCAGGTTGCAGGCATGGCCAATATTTACCGCCGTTTCTTCCTTATCCCCGGTAAGCATCCAGATTTTAATAGCAGCTTCTCTCAAGGACTCTATTGTTTCTGAAACTCCTTCCTGTAGACGATCCTCTACTCCAGTGGCACCTAAAAGTTTTGGGAGATTATTATGTGAACCACAAAGAACACTAAATTCCAAGAGCAAAAATACATGATTTGGAAAAGTCAAGGGGAACATAATAGTCCTGCTTTCAGTGAGAATTGCTTTGAAACATATGTTTAAAGCCCAACTTCAAGCCGAATTCCCAAAAGATTTTTTTATTTTTTTTTAATTGCCAGCAAAAATTCATTTTTCCTAACCAGTTACAAGCAGAGCCCTCTTCCTTTTCTCTGGTGGTGTGGTTCTCAATGCTAGTGTGAATGTTATGATCTCAGTGCCATCCTTGGGGGCAATGTGCTCTGACCCGAGGCCGATGTCATAATGCAAGTCCAGGGAGGAGTGTCTCTGACAGATGTGGGCTAAATACCGGGCGTCATTTAACCAGGAGGAGGACAGGTTCTGATAGATGGAGCCAAGTGTCTGTGAGCCACAGCATTGTAGAGAAGGGGAGTACTGCAGCAAAAGTTTTTCTCATCCTACCAGTGATGTGCAAATTAATTTTTCTGCATTTAGAAAAACTGAAGTTAGGCTTTAACACTTTTGCTGCCAGAGCTATTTTTACATTTCTTTGAACACATTAGAATGCACATTTGAGGCCTGAAGACTACTTCACATTATACATTTCCTGAAAGCAAAGACTCTGTAGAATAAAATGGTGGCAGTTGCAATTTTTTATGTTGCATGATATTAGCACAACTATTAATCAAACCTGAATTTCCAGTAAAAAAAAATAAAATACAAATCTTAGTGCACATAAACACAATTTTTGGTAAAATATAATAGAAGAGGTTGCAGTAAATAGGTATCAAACATGTCAAGCTTCAAAATATAATGTTTTTATATTTATTTTTTTACTTAACTTTATTGCTAATCACATGGGGGGCTCACAAGCCCCCTATGTGATAGCATTTTAATGCTTACAGGTTCTCTTTAAAAGGAGACATTAGGGGTGTATTAGACCCCAATGTTACTTTTGCAGCCCATTGAAGGTGATCAAGCACAGAACGAGGAATGACAGCTGAGGAAACGGAAGTAACAAAATCATAGTTGTTTCCAGGTTCATTCAGTGAGGAGGAGATCAGCAAATTAACCTGTCTCTCGTCCCTCACACCTGCAATACCAGTTCCTCAAGAGGGGCAGCAGAGCCAGGGAACTATGGCGGGGGTTGTTGGGCAAAGGGATATGCACGTCATAGCCGTCCGAATTACTTCCAGGGTAATGCCGACAGTCAGGCTTGCATGTATACACAGACACCGGGCTGCGATTGCAGCTATCTGTTTGCCATACGCTGGCAGCTGCGAAAGGGTTAAAGGCCTTTCCCAGGATAAATGGAGAACTGAAAAGGTGTTTAGTTTTTTTTATTTTGTTTTGTTCCCCAGCCTATCTGATCACATTAGCCCCTGGATGTTGCTCAGCTTAGGAGCGGTGGTGAAAACACACCTTGGTTGCTAAATGGTCTTGTCCCATTGTGGAGCAAGATTTACACCCTGTATCCGTTATAAAGAATATTGTGTCATGTGACGTTTCATATGAAATAACTGACATTTTTATAAACGTATGTAACTTTAGCAACCTCACAAACCTGTTTCCAGTTTACAAGTAGTATCTGATCATTCAATTCAGCAGCCCTGTACAGGTTATACATGATGGGCCACCTGGTGTCAAGGCTTCAATAGAAAACAGACATACCAAGTAGGTCGAGATTGGTTTCAAGTCGGAGTGCAGACTCGTACAGCAGCTCTTCTCGATTGTCAATACTGGTCTCTGCCAAAAAGTGCGACTGTAACCATTCGGAATACTCTCCGTCAGTCATCACCTGCACAAATAAGGAGACAAGGACACTTACAAACACATTTCAAAACTATGACTTCACGTTATATAAACACACCACTCTGAAACAAAGCCCCTTAAAAAAGTTTGACCATAATCTCCCTTGTCGTACCAGCACTAACAGCCCAGCTCCCCTGAGCTTTACCAAAGTACAAAGTCGGGTTTCACTTTCAATAAAATGTGTATTAAATTGTTATAGATAAATGACAACACAGTTACAAAGAATCACATACTGAATGTGCGTGTTCAACATTTACTGCCATACAATAAAGATAATGAAAGACTGGGCCTGATACATGTTTATATGATTGCCGGATGTGGAGAACTGGTAAGACAAAAAGGAAAAAATATATCTGAACCACAAAATATATCATAGACCATAAGAGACATTGCTAAAAAGAAAGATCTCCCTGGGCCACTGAACAAGTGCCTGATACACAGATGTGAATGGAAAAACTGACAAGTGAAAAGAAGACACACAATCTATGATGAAAGTGCTGTAGTAAGGAAGAAGGGAAGGATACAAAGAGATGGGCAAATATATGGAACACCAGAACCCCCAACATGAAACAAAAAAGGCTTTCTTTCAGCAGTGTATAGACAAAAATATTAAAATCGTCATCTCTTTTGTCCACTTATCTACAATAAAGAAATGTTATTGCACATAAAAAGTGCACATTTTATTTTATGATTTGTCCTCGTCATATTGACACAGGAACTACATTGAAATGGTTTAAACTGGCTTTTAGTGCTGCCTAGCTTGAGAGTATGCTAGGAAATTATTTTAAAAATAGACCAGCTTGATACAAATAATAACAAGGCATGTTCATTTAGATATATAGCTACAAACTATGCATATAAACAATTTATGAATATGCAAACATCTATATCTGCCTAATACATATCCACTTTTGCAGTGCTTATCTGCTTCTTCTCACAATGCCAGTGTAGGAGTTGGCCAACTTTTTGAAAACAATCTACTCCTTGTTTAGCTGGTATCCTAGGCCTCATGCACATGGGGCTGTTATGTGTGTCTGGAGATTCCTGCAGTAAGGAATTGCAGCAGGAATCCCACGTGGGTCCATACATCTGTCTGTGGCTATCCGCATGTAAATCACATATGTAACGAATAACTCTGATTCAGGATAGATGCTTGTAGGCAGTTTCTTGCCACAGCAACCCCCAGAAGAAAATGAAAACACCGTGAGCATGAGTCCTTAGGGAGTGAATATTCACGCAATTCATTCATTTTAATTATCAAAATCACGTGCAAAGCTCATTCCTGTTTATTTATTACATCTGCATATGAGGGGATATTCAAAGTGAACACAAATACAATTTATTAAGTGCAGGTCAATCATTAACAGTTGACATTCTCACATCAGTCATGAAATGTTATATCCGTTGCTGTGTACATCAATCAACAATAAAGGAAGATTCTACATGGTACTTTTATGCTGCATGAACAGTTTTATTGATGTTTCTATGGCATGCAAGGGGCAGGCATACTTTGCATGTAGACACAGCAACACTTAAAACTCATCGTTGGGCTTAAAGTGTATTTCCACTTTCGCAGACAAATTGGGATAACACCTATTTTGTATTTGTTACATAATCCCATTCACATAGCATAAGCTTAAAAAAAAAAAAATGCTTTTTGCAGTTTAAATTGCTTTCACTTGGGTTAGGGTCTCTTGGCTTCTTAAGGGTTAAAATGTATACTTGCTGCTTCTTCTTTGTAATGTTAGGAGGGGCTGTGGAGGGTTAAAAGGTTGGCTTCTTCTGTACATTCAAATGTTATTGAATTTAATGAGAGAAACACAATCCTTAGATTTCAGTCCTACGTCTTTCTATAAGGACAGATCATTGTGAATGTAAAAAAAAAACCTTGAAATCTGACACGTTGCCTGCCACAACAAAAGATCTATAAAAAGGTCAAAAATATATGTTTTTTTAATAATTTTTGGTTATGCTGCGTGAATGGGAACATACAACATGCATATAGAGGGGTTTTCTCAAATTTGACTGCAGACGTACGACTTAAGGTGACAGGGAGATTTCCAAGTCAGAATATGCCACATGCACATGATTTATAACTAAACAGGCTTCCAATTACTGTAATCTGAATAAAAGGTTCAAACTTGCAGAAATGTGGAAAAACAAGTTGATCATTACCTTTCTAGCAATACATAAAGTGCGGAGTCCACATCTTGCATAGTTATCTAAATGTCTTTGTGTTAATTTTCGGATATCAGCTTGCAAGACATCTGCTTTGTTATCTAAAAGCACAAAATAATAAAAACACACAATTCAATCAAGTGAACTTAATGTACATATAGGCATATTCTACAATCCATGCATTCAGTCCCAACTCCTCCTTTTAGGTTCCTCAGTGATATGTGTATATCTGAACACAAAATACAGCATCGTATAATGGAAGCAAATTATTGAGCGAAGAAACAGTGCCTTCGAGAATCAAAGTATTTTATGGATGTGCTGCAAAACCAGGTTTTACCAGCAGGATACAGATTCACATTTAGTTAAAAAAACAGATGCACTGGAGCAAACCTAACAAAGGATTTCTATGGCACACAGAAACACAACACTGCTAACATGAATCCTGCTACACGAAGTGCATTTAGAAGTAGTTATTAGAAGTAATTAGAAATTAGCAGTGCGTATTTAGAGGTCTGGTGGTCAACTTACTAGGTACAAGGAACCTCAACAATCACTCCTGACATCACCAAGGGACCACACATAATGTTTAGTATATCTAATGCTACAGGAGCTCAGAGATTGCAGGCATACTACATGAGATGGCCAGGCACACTACAGGAGATGGCCAGGGACTGCAGGCATACTACAGGAGATGGCCAGGGACTGCAGGCATTCTACAGGAGATGGCCAGGGACTGCAGGCATACTACAAGAGATGGTCAGGGACTGCAGGCATACTACAAGAGATGGCCAGGGACTGCTGGCATACTACAGGAGATGGCCAGGGACTGCAGGCATACTACAGTAGATGGCCAGGGACTGCAGGCATACTACAGGAGATGGCCAGGGACTGCAGGCATACTACAGGAGATGGCCAGGGACTGCAGGCATACTACAGGAGATGGCCAGGAACTGCAGACATTCTACAGGAGATGTCCAGGAACTGCAGACATTCTACAGGAGATGGCCAGGGACTGCAGGCATTCTACAGGAGATGGCAGGGGACTGCAGGCATACTACAGGAGATGGCCAGGGACTGCAGGCGTACTACAGGAGATGGCCAGGGACTGTAGAAATACTACACAGGATTGGTCAGACACTGCATACATGTTACAGGTGTGGTTGGAAACTGGCACTTCTGAATGTTGTAGTCTAAGGGCCACACAAAGCGTATCTAAGAGCCACAGGTTGGACACCAAGGAATTGGAGCAATCATGATCCATCATTATCTTAATACACAGAAAGAAAATTATGGAAAAATGGTAATGTGGTGCGGGTCTGCACTGCACCAGGGAATGTAAAAGGTATACTAATAACGACCTTGACAGAAATGATCAAACATTATTTCCCATACAACCATAGTATCTGACTAGCTCTAGCTACCTAATTCTACCCAATGACAGAATATGTATGTCCTTCAATGACCAGGTCATTTAAACTGTGCCAATTGACTGGTATGACAGCTATTGATCCAGCTGTCACTAATAATGGTGCACTCTACAAATTAAAGTCTACACATCCAGTTGTAAATCTACAGCCATTGAACATTGGCATCTAAGAACTTTAAAAGGGCATAATGGTTGTCAATGTACGATTTATATATTTCAAGACTGCAGCAATAATGCATACTGCGTGACCAATATAAGAACATGTCAGGAACAGAAAGTATTGTGTTCTAGAATTCCTTACCCTTTTGGTACACATTATATTGCATGGAACACTGTACATGCATTAATAATCCTTGCAAGAGCACAGGCATGGATCACAACAAAAAACTAAAGGATATAAGACATACAACAAAACCCACCCATGGATATTTATTAAAATTGTGCAGAAATCAATAGGCTTTGGAAAGTGCAGTTTTTTGTTCAGTATAGATTTGGAAAAGTTTAAAACCTCCGTTAGTTCTGTACCAGAGACATGAAAGTGGTAATGTTTACAGTGGCTCAGTGCCACTTCTGCCTTGCAGTACTGAGGTCCTAGGTTTGAATGCAGGTTTACATAAAAAGCACAAGAGCATCCATCTTGCCAAGAGAACTGTGTATTCATTTCAAGTGAAGACTGAACTTTTGCATAGGAGTGTTTTCACCCTACTTTCTTAGAAATTTACACTTGTAACTTTCTGTTTTCACCTTGTATATTATTTGTTAGATCATAACATTCCACCCCCTTTTCTCTCTGTATCTTATAAAACCTTAATGCGTCGTAATAAATCAGACCAGCTTATTGCAGACTTTGGTGTGTGTGTGTGTTGATCTCCAATGGTAACAGGTAAATGTCACCAGCACACCAAAGAGATATGAAATCCAAAGTGTTCGTTTCTTGAAACGTCATGTCATTAGAACAAGCACTTTGGGGGCCACACAGGGTCCCTTTCATCGGGCTCAGCAATGACTATTTGTTCTGATGACATGACGTTTCTATAATTGAACACTTTGGATTTCAAATCTCTGTGGTGTGCTGGTGACATATACCTATTACCATTGTCTGGCGGCGCCATCTGCAGTCACTACAAGCACCCCCCTAGGATTAGGGGCTTCCGGTAAGGAGTGCAGCAAGGCAAGGCAACTTTGATTGCGATATTGTATCATAATTTGAGCCCACTAGTTAATGGCGATAGCAGGTGATTTGCATCTGCATTCCAAATGTATGATTTCCCTGACAGTTCCAAAGTGGGGCAAATTCCACTTTTGACAGCTGTCACTAGAACAGGTGTCTCTGCTGAAAGATTTTCCTTCATCTCCTGTTGACAACTGTAACATTTTGGATTTTTCCTCATGTTAATTCTTATTACAGTGAGCAAACAACAAATGGTTAAGGTAAATCTCCAGAAAGGAGACATGGCAATAAAAATCTAGGAGGTTCCAACACCTCCTTACACAACAAACAAGTTTTGGCTGGCGATCTGCTATAACACACAGGTAATCTGATTTGTTACTAGTGATTACTTAACTTCTCTGTCTAGAGGTTTATATTATAAAAAAAGAACGAAAGTGTACATTAACCACTTTCATTCCAGTCTTCAGGGATTAAATGGGCTCGGCCAACTGTTTAATCATATATTTATCAATATATGCCAACTGCAGGACTCAGACATGGCAACGGCCACTGATGACTTGTTTTTAAAGGTATATATTCCATCCACCTTGCTTAACTACTTGGTAAATCACTGACCCAGCCATTCAAGTGTGTGGATTCCTGAGCCAGGTCAGTGACACACTAGCTGGAGAAGGGAAATCATAAAGATATATTAAGTGCAATACAAATCAGCAAGACGGAAGATTTGATATTTCTCCAGACAGGTTTCTTTTAAGAAAGCAATATATTATGGCAACCAATCAGAATTTTTCTTCCGCTGACCTGGCTCTCCTTGTTTTGGGTCCCACAAGTGAAGATCATCACGTCTGTTTGCACTACCTCATTAAATAATCACAATTATATTATAAGAAAGCGATCAAAATAGATGTAGAGCTTACCATCAGATGTTGGGGAAAGGAGATCCATTATAACAGAATCTGCTCCTTTTGTGTACACCACAACCTTATTGGTCAGTGGATGGCGAACCACAATTGACATCCTTTTTCTGACAGAGTCAAATGGTAAAATATGCAGCAGGTGAAATGTCATGGACCCAATAGTGCCGAGCTCTACAGTGACTTGATCAGGTGTCCGAGACATTAGAATGCATTTATAAGCTCTGGCAGCATATACCAGTGCAGCTTCATCGGGAGACTCGGCCTCATAGTACACTTCACATATGCTAGGCTTATCAGAGCCATCAGCTGGATCTGTAAGGTCAGATTTCTCCAAGTCTTCCAGCAATGTCTCCCCAGCAGAGTCCAAGCTGGCCTCCAAGGCTTTTTCACCCTCAGCACTAGAAGCCAGCTTCATTTTGCTGAAAAAGGGCAGTTTATATACAAAGTTATTGGGGGATTCTGAAGAGTAATCTTTTCCATTTAGAAGCGAAGTTGAGCTTATCTTGCGGACAGAGAACCTTTGAAACATCTGCTTGATTTCCTCCAGGGATTTCATTGGGCTCCTTATTAATGATGGTATATTTCCCTGTTTGCAAATCATAAAAGGCAACAACAATTAGACTCTAATGTATCTGTAACAGATTCTGATCAAATGTATGACAGTTAAGGAGCACCTGTCACTTTAATAAGCACAGCAAGTCAAGGATATAGTATACTACAACTTGTATTCCCTGATAGCAGACCACTTTGTTTTAAACTGAGCACTGTTAGTCTAGAGCAGGGATGGCCAAACACCAGCCCTTCAGCTGTGGTGAAACTACAAATCCCATGAAGCATCTCTCTCCGGGAGTCATGTCTGTGGCTGTGAGAATCTTGCAAAGGCTTATGGGATTCGTAGTTCCACCACAGCTGGAGGGCCGCAGTTTGGCCATCCCTGGTCTAGAGGATCAATGGCTCATAAATATATGTACATTTTAAAACCTGCCCCTCCCAGCCCCATTCGACTCAGTTTAGAGATAATGTGGTACTAATACCAGCAAACAGACTGCTTAGGCCCAGTGACACATTTGGTGCACACACTTGTGATAGTTGTTACTGATAACAGTCACATTGCACATGTATTAAAAGAGAACTATAGTCAAAAATTGTTCGGATTTGTTCTCCTTTAAGTCACAGGAGTACATTTCCTAATCAGCAAAGTCGGCAAAGAGCCCGCTATAAGCTCACAGCACAGAGCTGTGTTGCAGCCAGGAAAGATGGCTCTCTGGATCCAGATCTCATCCCTCCCATGAGACCTGAAGCAACAGAGAGGGGAGGGAGAATCCTTGCGGGGAGTGATGACTGATAGTTACCGGTCTCTGCAGGGAGAAGCCGTGAATTGAGATATCAGTGGCTCGTGATCGCTCAGTTCTCAAGCTATAGAATTGGGTTGTGAAAGCTGCAGTGTCACTGTGATTTTTAATTGTTCATGAATCTCTTTAAAATGAATACAAGACCAGAGGGATCAATTCCAGGTATCACCATGGATTTATGTATGCACGGTTGCCGGGGCAACTATAGAATATTTGTTTAGTATTCGATAAAGAAAAGGAACATTTATAATCTATGTCAGGCCTTTACTGTTTTTTATGCCCCTTTTGGGGAGATGCCCCTCACTGCCTTCCCTCCCATCACTGGGACAAGATGTGAAGGGAAATCTTTCCAACAAATATTCTAAACCTTTTACCTTACATTCAGGATAAAGAAGTTTTAGCTGGTGTTGGGCTGTAAGCACCATTATGCCAGTAAATATTATTTAGCAGGAACAAACATTACCTTCTGCCGGGGCTGATTAGGTGAGGATACCACCACGGTGTTGCAGATGGCTAAAGCAAAAAAGAAGTCCATGATGTATGATGCCTCCAGAGCCATCTCTTCACAATGCCTGGAGAGATACAGAGACTGAGGGCTGATCTGGTAAAACTTTCTTTCTAGACAAGGATCTGGTAACACATCCTTCTCCTGGTAACAAAGCACAAACAACCCAGTTACTACTTTGTAATTGATTTTCTGCCACAAAATCTCAACAATGGAACAGCTGCAATATAATAATGTTACTCTTCCCTGGACAAACTCTTGAAAAGTAGGGTAAGATGAATTAATAAAACAGTTAAAAATGGAGAGATTTACAAAAAGCATTGCACGGATAAAAGCTTCATTATTGACATGTACACACCATAGGGCTGCTAAATGCAAAGTGTCTTGGTTGCAGCAGAGGACCGGCTCCTTCACCTTCTCCTCTCAGCTCTAATCCACTTGCAGACAGCTTGTTCAGTGACCTGTTGCTTGGCATACTCCTCACTGATTTGGGGCTTTGACTCTTGCATTTGAAGGCTGCACTATTGGAGAAAGGATCCGGTGTTTCTTCACAGTGCAATTCAGGATCTTGATAGGACTGTAGTCGCTTGGCTTTAAAAGGAAAAACATCACTATGGACTTAATGACTTCAAATGCAAACCATAATAAAATACAAGCTTAAAATAAGATTTTCAATAGAGAAAAATAGCAGATGTAGTTGCTACAGTTATGAGTCAATAAATTCATCAAAGCAACGTGCGCATCCTAATTTAAAGAGCAACTCTGGTTAAAAAATGTATTAACCCTTGCAGTGGGGCTACCCCCGTACGAGCAGTTTGCCTAGGGTCAAAAATAAAGTTATACCCACCCGATCCTCCAAGTCAGACGGCTGTTACAGCGCTCCCTCCAGTCTGTCCACACCTCCACTGCAGTGATGGTATGTCCCTCGGCGTCCTCACATCCTGTACACAGTGTATAAAATGTGATGACTGGGGGATCTTAGAGCACTGCAGTGGAGGGGGAGAGAGGCTCCAGGGTCAATGAGCTGGCCAGCTCGGAAGATTAGGGGAGTCTAACTTTTTTTATTTCTGATGTCTGGCAAAAAGGAGCACTTATCCCCAACCACCTCACGCACTGCAAGGCCTAAATGCTTGTTAAATCTGGGGGGTGGGTGAAGAGGTGGTATTACTTATTCACCCCTGCAGCAGACTCCAGCACTCTTCACTTCTCCCTGAAACTGCGGCCTGTGGATGGTCCTGCGCCCTCATCACTTACTTATCTAAAGTCAGAACAACTCTGGATACTTACTTCTCCAACAGGCAGTGAATTAATTTATTACTGTCTTGCGGAAGCTAAGAGCACTTCTTCAACTGGACACTTCCGGGTGTATCGGATAGCATGTGTCTGTTTAGGTGCTGCGGTTCCTCCTGTCAGCTACTACAGCACTATGGGACACAATATTATATCATTCTGGATTTTACTATCGGCATTATATTCTGTAAAGTCATACCATTGGCTTCATGAGAATATTCTACACCCGCAATGCTGCACCTCCGGAAAACCATCTTGTTCTCTGTAAGAGTGCCAGTTTTGTCCGAGAAAATGTACTGCACTTGACCCAGGTCCTCTGAAATGTTCAGTGCTCTGCACTCAATCAGCGAATCCGACTTTTCACAGTAGAAATCTCGGTCATTCTGGATGAAGTAGACTTGCCCCAACTTGACAATTTCAATGGAGACGTAGAGGGAGATTGGAATCAACACCTAAACAAAAGCAAAACAGTTTAAAGTGATATTAGTCAAAAGGATTTTAAGCCATGTCAAACGCTGATTAAATCACTTACAATAAACGCTGCTCCTCGATGTTTAAAAGTTTTAGTTTTCTGCAGAATCAGCTGCTCTCCTGAGCAATGCCCCTGAATTCCAGTTTTAGAGTCACTCCTTTCTCAAGCAAAGTGCTATGCAGTCACCCTTGTGTGTGCTAGTAAGCTGCTAGTCAGCCCCGCTGGCTGTCAAAATACCTAAACAATCTGATTGGATGCAGGCATTGTTCAGCTAGCGGGGCCGACTAGCAAGATACTGAAGCTTGGCCCGGTGGGAGATTCCTCCATTTACACAGTTTAGCATAGATGGAGGAGTCGGTTGCACTTTTTCAATCTGGCCATAGAAAATCTGCAGATAATCTATAGGTGTATGGCCAGCTTTAGCAAAGAAACATCCAAGCATCTAATTGACTGTGGGCACCAGTTTCACTAGTCCTTTATAAAACAGCATTTATTAAGTCAGCCCAATGTTATTTTAGGAGAATCTTGCCGATATATATATATATATATAGCAATATAAATGGGTAAGCCGTATTAGTCCAGTAGACAAGATGTAAAAAAAGACAAAAAAGGGCAATTCCTGATCATTACGGAATGGTAATCGAGATCATTTAAAAAAAAGGAATAATTTCCTAAAGCTGATAGAAACAGTCACTGGGCAAAAGTGGGTTAAAAATCTTTATTTCAACAAACAGGAAGACCAGCATTTGGCTCACCACATAATAGCTGTCATTATCTGATAGGCCCTGTATTACCCGTTTTATAATTTGCCTGGCAGGGAAAAGGTAGCATATCTGGCCTGGAAAATGTTTTACTGTATACAAGGATGACATTGTTTCTCCTCCGGGAATTGCAGTTGAGAAACTGACAATTACTAAAATAAATTATCATAAAAAGTTACCTGTAGAAGGATTATCATTGTCCAAAACATGTAAAAGGCAGCCAACGCTGGAGGGGTGTGCTCTCCGCTAGGTTCGGGAATGCTGAAAATTGGAGGTTCAGGAAACTGCATCAGCCAGATTCCATGCCCTGAAATTGCAAAGTAAGCAAAGTCCATTTATAATGTGTGAGGAAAATTAAAACATGCATCTGTACTTGAAGTCCTAGCAGCACAATATAAAAATGTAGGAGCTCAACATTATGCTATTTTACGATCTCTGATCCTTGAATAAATCAATGAGTAAGAAAAAAAAAAAAGCAGTAAAATATCATTTAAACAGTAATTCCACTCCAAATTGAATTTTCCCCTCTTCCCCATCCTACTGTACTTACCTTTTGCCGAATGCGCCTTCCCCTCCTCCAGTACCAGTGTACTACCCAGTACCTGGGGTGTGGGATCCCTTTCACCCGGGACATTCAATTCCCAGCATTGATTAGGTGTTTTTTTTTTCTACATTTAGCCCTGCTGCGGGCAAGCAGGGCTAAATGTAGAGCAGGGGAGCCGCTGCTTGTTTTATACAGGTGATCTGGGTGGCTGTACAGATGCCCAGAACACTTATAGCAGCCTGCTTGTCCATGCCCCCTTACACACACCATGGTGTTCAGGGTCTCATGCTGTTCTGGGGGACCCGGGACCATGGCAATAATATCAGGATGGAGAACGGAGAGCAGACCTGAGAACGTCAGTTCTATGATGTGCTCTGTGTGATCAGTGAGACAGGAGCGCTGTTCTCAGTACTTCATGTCTCAACTGTCACAAGCCGGGCTGCACAAGAGATGAGCACAATGTTGTGCTCAATCTTCTGTATTGGAGGGCAGGCTCCATAAAGAGAATCTGTCACCTCCAAATGCTATCACACAGGGCCTTGTTATCCCCCTGTGTGATATTAATAAAGTTAAGTTAAAAAAATGTGTAATAAATAAAAATAAAGTGATAAAAAAGTAAAAATAAATAGGTGGTTGGAAGAGGCTCATACCAAGTCCAAATTTAGGTAGTTACATCAGCTGTATTTGAAAAAAATGCAATTAGCAGTGTATTACTTAATACAGAACTGTGCTGATTTTTGTATTTTATATCTGCTTGGAGTTCAGCTTAATTGATTAGTATAAGCAAGGTTCAAATTAGAACAGAGATTGGACATGACACCATACACTAGCACAATTATGTGCTGATGTGCAGTCTGCCAGTTTAGCCGAGGTTAAACAAAATGTACCAGGGGTGTATTACAAACTGCAATAGTAGTTTTACTGGTTTATTTCTAAACTAACCATCCTCCTAGCACGCTAGCAAAAAACTGGAGTAAGATGAGTTACATCTGCACGGCCAACAGCTTTTTTGTTTGCCAGTGTCCGATTCCTCCTGTAAGGAACAGTATAACCCAATTATCTATGAATAACTGAATCCTGTGCCCCTTGATGAACAAGATAGAAAAGCATTTGAATTTTTTTTTTTTAATGAATACATAAACTAATTAACAGCTGGTTTTACGTATCTGCCTGGAGTTCAGCTTTGAAAATGCAAAACAAAAAAAATAACATACCGTGTTTCCCCGAAAATAAGACCTACCCCGAAAGTAAGACCTAGCACTATTCTTCAAGACTCCTGTAATATAAGACCTACCCCGAAAATAAGACCTAATTTGGTGGTAGCATGTGAGGGGGAACTTGAAGAGCAGGAGAGATGTTATCAGCCTGCAGGGACAAACTGTATTAAGGGGATGACAGGGTACTCCTCCGGCCAGCGCAGTGACAGGGAGCACTCCAGTACCATACTTCACCAACTGCTGTCCCCCTGAAGGCACTTCTTAATTTAATGGTACTTTAACATGTACCGGTAAATGGTACCACACTTTACCCCGCTGTCCACTGTCCCCACTGCTGCACTGCTGGTACCGCTGTCCCTGATGGCAAAGGAAGCCGGCGCTGTAGAAAGTAAGGCTGCGGCGGTGGAGGGAGCAGAGCCGCATTAGCCGATACTTCCTTTATAGCGCTGGTTACTGTGAAAGGCGGAGTGATACCAGATGCACTCCGCCTGTGAATGTGAAAGAAAGGGATCAGCATTACCGATACTGACCATTTTGTTGTACATAAAAAAATAAAATAAGACATTCCCTGAAAATAAGACCTGGTGTGTTTTTTTGGGGCAAAATAATATATAAGACAGTGTCTTATTTTCAGGGAAACACGTACTTTAATCCGTCTAACTGGCATCTTTTTCACTTTCTATCCATTACACTAAACAAACGGATTGGATAATAATGGTAATACTTTGCTCTGATTACTTAAGCTCCTGTGAGGCATAGTAAAAGAGGTCACTAGTAACACATTTTTCTTTATCGCCTCATTCCTTACTTTATCGCCTCATCTTTGCGGCATCTCACAAATCAGGTTTATTAAGAGAGGAAAATAGAAGAAACACACCTTGCATTACTAGGCAAACATTTTATAGCATTGCCATTACAAAACTAAGTTGACGGTAACACTTTTTCTGAAAATGTTTATAATTTAGTATTCAACTCACCAATTGCTCCAACCAGGCACATTATCAACAAAAGGAGAACACACCACAGTATATCCGAGTTAAGCTGCCTCTCCAGTCTACTGCGCTTGTATCTCGGTCCGCTGTTGTTTAGCATTGTTTTAGTCTCATGACCTTATAGGAAGAAAAAAAAAAAAACCTTTTCACCTTCACGAGCCTTATTCAATTCATAACGCATCTAATTTTTCCACCTTTCCCAGCGGATCCAAAAATATCAACACTTATACACTGTCCTTTCATTGTAACTTAGTTCAGATTCAACTGAGAGTGTCATTTAACTCTGATACTCCTGAGAAACCACTGAAACATCTCACATTACAGTAAAGAAACCTAAATTCTATCTAGCCTTTCAGCCAGCCAACCATCTGGTCATCCAGCCAGCTATATCTATTAAATCCCTCCATTCATTCTGCACCTGAGCGGAAGCCACTGAATGTAAGATTTAGCAGACAACCATGGAGAATGTGCATGTTATACATGGGTACAGAGTGTGGATGCTGAACGGAAGCATATGAGACATTATGTTAATCTGTATAGGCCATTCACGATGAACATTTCTCTAACAATATACCCTAAATGGAGTGGCAGCTGATCCCCGCACCCTAATAACACAAAAGGAACATGCCCAAAAGTCATACAGAATTGTCAGAGCAAAACAAGTGTAAAAAAGGTACAAACCTGCATATACTACAATACCAATCACAGCTTCTGTATTCCTCACAACACATCCTCTTAGTAACAGGTTTTCTTTATTCAGTCCAATTTTTTCTTTGTCTGGATGTGGCCTTTCTCTATCAGGAAAAACAAAATAAAGTACATTTACTTCATAGACATTTTTGATAAAGGTAACGTAGAACTGAAACCAAAACTTTTTTTAAGGTGTGGAAAGAGTAAGGAAAGATTACAACCTGACAGTTTTTTTTGCCATCTGTGTTCCATTGGTGAGATTTCCCTTCACTTTCTTTCTGATGGTGACACAGGAAATCCCTCCAAAGGGAGGAAAATCCCTGGTGCTCAGCAGGGTCACCACAACCAGTGTCCCCATTAGAAACATTTCCTGATCTATTCCTGCTCTTGTGACCACCTTCCTTAAGTGATAACAGACACGAGGACAAATAAAGAGGGTGACAACAGACAGACAACAATAAAAACCTGACAGGTGTTCTAATCCCTCTCCATTCTATCCAAAACTAAAATATTTTGGCTTCAGTTCTACTTTAAAGGGTGTGTAAACCTATGCAATCAACGTCTCTGTTTAATATACAAGTGAATGTGTTTTGTTATATCTGTTTGAGAAGTTCTAAGAATTCTTCTTCATCCTGACAGAAATCTTGGAAGCCAAACTTCCTGCGCGTTACTGGCACAATCATCAGGTAAAAAAAAAAAATGAAGTAAAAAATAAACCTGAAAAAAGAAAACAAATGCAGGCACCACATCTAAAAAGACTAAAAAGTAAGCTGCAATCTATTAACATTTTTGTATTCAAGTTTAGGAAAGAACATACTTCACACAAGCAGTAATGCACACTGCAATCATATAAACATGGAAAAACTAAAAGGTAGACTATATCACAGGACGCAAGTATAGTATTTCAAATAAGAAAAAACGAAAATACATACCATAGATTGAAATTAAAGACTACCGTAAAAAAATAAAAAAACCTATACACCACACCTAATGTATGCATAACTCCCTTGCCATGACCTGATACCCTTCATTGTTTTTACCTGACAGGAAAAGAGAGGTGTAGAGTAAAGTTTAAACTATTTTTTTGTTTTGGATATTTTAAAAAAAAGTTAGAATTAGCCCTCATTCACACCTACAATATAAGTGTGTTTGTGGATTCCTGCATCAGGAAACCCAAATCTGCTGCATCAATTGTGCGTCCAAGGATAGTGATTCATTCCCAATCGCGTGTAATCGTATAACATACGTTTACTTGCGGTGTGCCAGCTTTCAAATGCGCCAGCTGTCACCTTAACATTAACTTGATTTGGGATTCCTGCTGCGGAAATCGTAAGTTCCTGACGCAGGAATCCTTAAACGCACCTACACTGTAGTGAATGTAGCCTGTCAAGTGTTAAATTGCCTTGAAGATTAGCCCTCTCGATTTGACCTGGTGGCCATTATCACAAGACAGAAAGTGATGGGAAATTCAAATCAAAAAGTTGTCATCTAAATAAGGAGCAAAGGCAAATCTTCTAATGGAGGGACTTAGTGACAACTAGTGAAAAGCACTCACCTCATAGTTCTCCTTTAGGCTGGGTTCCCACCTAGGCGTTCGAAATATGCGTGTATGACGCGCGTTTTAACTGCGATTTGCAGCCCACAAAACGCGCATTAAACGTTTACGAGGGCTATCCGGCTGTATCCTAATGGATACGCACGGAAATACGCCCCAAAGAAGCTCCTGTACTTCTTTGGGCATAGGGCGTTTCTCAGCACCTTCCGACACGCTGAAATACGCCCAAGTGAGAACCATGCCCATAGGAAATAATGGGATTTCGCTTGCAGGGCGTTTTACAGCGCGTCGATCAGCGCTGTAAAACGCCCAGGTGTGAACCCAGCCTTAATGGCTCTAAAATTATTGCTCTCACTCCGTTTGCGGCGATATGCAACATAGCAACCTATCACGGTACCACACTTGAATTCACTGAGCTCCTGAGAGCGACCCATTCTTTCACAAATGTTTGTAAAAGCAGTCTGCATGCTTAGCTGCTTGATTTTATACTCTTATGGCCGTGGAGGTGATTGGAACATTGAATGAATCCAATGATTTGGAGGGGTGTCCCAATACTTTTGGCAATATAGTACGCACGTACGCACACGACCCTAAAGTAGAACGGAAGCCAAAAGTTTCTTTTTGGTTTTGCATGGAGTAGGGGAGAGTAATAACCACTGACAATTTTTTTTTTTTCATTTGTCTCCCATTAGGGAAATTTTCATCTACTCCCTGTCCGATAGGCACAACAGGAAGTGAGAGGAAATCCCTCGAAAGTGATGGAAACCCTAGGGTGGTCAGCAGGGTCACCTAGAACTAGTGTCTCCATTGGAACATTTCCCATCTATTCTTTCACTTTCAGTCATAATGGTCACCAGTGCCCAAGCACTCAAGTTTTCAAGCAGACTCCATCTCTCTCTGCGCATCTTCACTGAACTTTCTGTCCAGTACAAGATCACAAGGGAGAGTGCAATGCCAAAAAACTGTCTGCCAACTTTGAGAAGGAAGAAGAGAAGGATGGAGAGGATTGTTTTGTCTTGCCTGTGTCTTTGTGGAGACACACACAATTTACTAGCACACACAATTGTGACTCCATAGGACCCAGCATAGGACCCTAAAACAAGATTATCAGGGACAGTGTTCAGGGAGCCAGCTGATTCTGCAGGAAATGAAAACTTCTAAACATCAAGGAGCAGCATCCATTGTATATGATTTAATCAGCATTTGAAATAGCTTAAAGCCAAACTCCCGGTAAAATGTTTCTTACAGATATATGAACAGGGAAGGGAGGTTTACAAAGTAAATAGTCTATAACAGTACCAAGTATATACATTTATGGTAGGTCCCCTGTTTTAGTTATAACAGAAACAAAGTTTTACCCCCACAGTTGTTGGAATCAGGAATCCACAACTAAGGAGATCAAGCACATATCATCAGGCTGTCCACCCCAACATTGGGATTTTATCCTGTCCAGGACGTGGACATTACACAACCAAAGACAAAAGGTCCAGTTAAGGCTAACCGTATCCACGGTGAACATTTGAAAAGCAGAGATAAAGATATCATTTTAGCGAAGATCTTTTGCATATGCCGTCTACATTGAATAAAACCGAGATAAGGATAACGCTCTCCTGAACCCATTTTGTCTATAGCCCGGATCGTTGTGCAAGTGAAAACTCCTCTGTGGATGTACACTTTTCTCTGAGAAAGAGACAAACACTACCGTGAGTGCCGTTTAAGATCTCCTCAATATAACATGAACGTTTTTTGAACTTTCTTTTGGAATTTTTTCTTCCCTTTTTCTTTCTTCATACACGTGTATGTTACATAGTTACATAGTATTTGAGGTTGAATAAAGACATTAGTCCATCAAGTCCAACCTATTAGGATCTAATTCTAGGAGTACCTGTACCCCTGTATATTGCAGTCCCTTAAGATTCCTCCAGTCTTTCTACCCGTTCCTGTGCTGGAGGATTTTATCTCTCTTGATTTTCTGAGAAAATCTCTATCCAAGATAAGAACATAGAGTAAACAAATATATACAAGGTTTAGATATCATACTAAGGTATTCAGAAGGAGGGCCATATACCACATATTTTATATATACAATTTTTCTATATAATTCTTTCACAATTAGCCGAGTATTTGTCTTATATGTAATAGAGGTCGGTCTGTTTTTTGATATGCATGCATTTTTTATTTAATTATCAAATAAATTTATATCTTTTACTACATTTTCGAAGACTTTTTGAGTCATGGTGGGATCCCCTTAAAGGGGTAAAACTTTGTTTCTAAAATGTCTGGGACAAAATGGGACAACCCCTGCAACTGCAAGGGTTAAGTGCTCTTTTTGCCTAGGTTAAAAAAAACATCACCCGATCCTTGGAGATGCCCCGCTGTGACAGGGCTCCCTCCTGCCTCTCTTCTCCTCCGCTGCAGGGAGGTATGTCACTTGGCATCATCACGTCCTATACACCGTGTATAGAATGTTATGACTCAGGGACCTTAGACTGCTGCAATGGGGGGGGGGGGGGAGAGGCTCCAGAAACCGGTCTAAGAGCAAGCCGGCTTTGAGGATCAGGCGAGTATAACTTTATTTTTGAACCGAGAAAAAAAAAAAGCACTTAATAAAACATTTACCTGGAGTTCTGCTTTAAACACCTTTTGACTTTAAAATCACTTTAAAAATAAATATATACAGTGTCTAGTTTTTACACAATAATTCTATCTATACCGGACATGTACTTACAGGAAACCTTTGAACCTGCCAATGTCACTGTTGGGCGTTTCACACTGTATTTTGCTTGAAAACTTTTCTGTCTCAAAGTCGCAATCCTAAAACAAAAAAATAAAGGAGGTCCAGGGGTTTCTTCACATAAAACACAGCATTTTACCCCTTACAGTTAATGTATGTAACAGGAAATGGCACATGATTCTTTACAATGGACGTCTATAACCAAATATCATTAAATTATCTACAGAGACTTCTGCGCTCAATTAATCTAAGAAAACTGGGCGTTTCTCCTTACAGCTGCTCACTTAAATTGGCTGCATGAGCCTGCATTAATATCATTCAAACATGTGAAGCGGCGCTATCACCCAACAAGTAAACAAATATGTGCAAAAAACAAATATTATAGTGAACAATACTATTGAGGGAAAAGAAAAAAAAATTTATATAATATTTTTCAAATATTTTCCAAATTAAATCTTCTAGTCAACTGTTTGTGTAAATCACAAGGTGATCATCTAACTAAAACTCCAAATGACCAATAAAGTAGCAAACGTCCTGTGTCAGTGTGTAAAACACATAATTGAAACAAAGTGTCCATAAATTAATTTAACGCAGGCAGCTCTCAAAAAAAAAAAAAAAAAGTGTTTTCTTAGTCTTTCTTCGTGCGTCACTCTGCCCACTCTTGTAATTTCTTCTGTATTTTTTGCTGAAGTGCTCATAAAAAACATCAGTGCTCTGATAAATAAGCCTCTCACCTCCATGTTCAGACCCATGGGTCTCAAAGCGCTTCTTATAGTGTAAAACTCCTTCCTCACACTAGCTGCAGTGCAGTACGTTTTTGATGCGTTTTTGCATTTCCGGTCCATTCCCTGACCGTACAAAATGTGACATGCAGTATTTTTCTGTCGTAAGCTGAACGGACTGCGCACGTGACAACTGTAGCCCATAAAACACATAGGGATACATTGGGATGCATTTTTAGTGCAGGAGCGTACGGATCAGGTCAGCACAGAAAACGGACGTCGTGTGAACAGGCCCTAAGGGTTGGACTCAATGGATTTGCGTCTTTTTTCAACCTGACAGACTATATAACTATGTAATTATGCAAGTACAAAGCTCAGAGCAATTACTTAATTACATTCACCATCAGATTCAAACCTGCCTTGGAAGACTGAATCTGCCCAGCATTACATCCAGCCAGGAGAAAGAAGTTATATGGTAGAGGCTTAAAGTGTAGTTCTACTTTTGCAGATTAGGATCACACCTACTTTATATCTGTAATATGTTCTCACTCACATAATAGAACATAAAACAAAAAAACTTTAAAAGGGTACGTTTCACAAAAGGTGAAAAAATTAGCTTTCTAACAGCAACCTCTTAACCCTTCCCCTGGTCCCCACCAGCCGGTGTAGTGATACGTACACTTTATACTAGAACTGACAGCCCTGCGCTCTGGAATGTTTGTAAATGGTGTTCAGCGCAGCCATGTAACCAATAAGCGTTCGCCATTTGCAAGCCGTATAATTATTCCAGACTATGGGTTCCTAAATACATAGCAGCTTGCCTAGAATTCAACTTTAAAAGGGAAATCGAGTACATTCTGACTTTAATATAGTTGCAGTGTCACCTGGACAGCAATAGTAGCTCACTCAACAAATTCAATACTTTCCTTGAATAAAGAATTAAACTTTTCTTTTACTGTGCCTCGTTGCAGATTAAACCTTCATTTGAAGGACAGAAAATTAAGGTAGCTCCCTCTAACACGGCTCCGAAAAGCAGTAAAATCCAACAAGCGTTTTTATCCTTCCCCCCTCATCCAAATCTAAAAAAAACGTTTTTCATGTATGTATGTGAGATAGGGACCTTAGATTGTAAGCTCCTTGAGCACAGGGACTGATGTTGCTGTGCACTATGTAAACTGCTGTGTACAGTAGATTGATGGCACTGGCACTATATAAAATATCTGTAAGAAATAAAACAAATGAGCACCTTTGAATATTTGGAAAGTGCTGAATAAGCTATGCAGAGCACAGTAAGGAAAGACATAAACATGTATATGTAACAGATGTATAGTATACACAAAACAAAGCTCAGACATTACCATGAAGCACCCTTTCACCACCTGCCTCTGTTTCAGGTTTGTTTCTCCATCAAGGCTCGACGTCTCTATATGACAAATCCCATCAGGATCCGAGGAGTGTAGCAGCACCATATCAGCAGGGATAACCTCGTCACAATGGAGCTTAATAAAATTCCCCACCTTCACATCTTTCCAGTAGCACTCTACATATTTGTTCTCCTTCCTGAGAGACAGGCAAATTCACAAAATTAAAAAAAAAATGAAATTCAAGTCCTGAGGGAACAAAGTATTAAAGTACATGTAAACCCTAACAGAATGGCATTTTGCTAAAGCACCGTGTATTATAAATCATTGCCTTTTTTTATGCATGTACACCAGTTAAGACTGCATTCTCAGGGCAGGTTCCATTAAGGTGTCAACAGTGGTCCATGCCTGTGTAATGTGTGTTGAAATGGCCAACTGTAGTATCCATGGAAGCCCATGTAACAGGGTGACAAAGCATTATTGTCCGATTCCCATCGCACTCCGGATCATAAATATCATAACGTGGTGGGTGCAACAGTGACCAGCGGTTTTCGCTGCGTTTGCCAACAATGTAGACCAGGAAAAGTCCCTGTCACTCCAATAGTGATGCAAGCAGATCTTTTATTGATGCATGTTCACATGATCACAAAGCAAATGACGTTTCGGGGCCACATAGGGTCCCTTCATCAGGCTAACAATTTGAACAAAGCAGGAACACAATTTGGAGACAGGGACAGATCATTGTTACCTTATAACAGGAAGTGCCCAAACAAGACCCTTCATGGCAGGATAACCTAGTATTATTCTAATGAATGCTACAGATTTATACATTTTGAAATCTGAATTAGATTAAAAGGAGAACTATGAGGTGAGTGCTTTTCACTCACCTCATAGTTATAGCCGACCTGTGACAATGAGACTGTCACAGGTCTGCTCAGTAGATCGGGAGGTGAGCGAACACATGCCGGTGTTCGATCACTTCTCGATCCTGTCACGGCTCTCTCCCGTGAGAGTGGAGGGGCTGGATTTCCCCCTCCCCGCTCCGCCAGCGCTGACTGGCGGAATGGACGGAGGAGGGGGCGGGTACAGCTGGCTCTGCCTTTAGATAGGCAGAGCCAGCTGTCCGTCACGCAGCTGGGCGGATCCCGGCACAATTGTCGGGATGCGCTTCAGCGTCTCAGTATACCGCGTGCTGTAGCTCGCGGTATACTGAGCCTAGGGTGACGGGAGGACGCTAGTTTGTGTCCTCCCGTTACCCTAAGGAGAACTATGGGGGAAAGCCTTAACCCCATAGTTCTCCTTTAACAAGTGGAAATTAGTACCCATCTATCATGGCAGAAGGACTCTGCAGAGCGTCTGGGGAACTTTCCTCCCTCTCCCTGCTCTGAAGTTTAGCAGCTCTTCCTCCAGTCAGGTCTATGTTTCCATGGGCTGGGGGAATACAATGCAAGAGCCTGTACATTTGTGCTCACAACGCACTGATCACAGGTGGCAATGTGCTGTAGGCTCTATTGCAAAAAAAGTTGTAAATGCACATTGGTCACGAGATCAGTGTTGCTGCATTTACTACTATTTTGCAAAAGGTGGACTTAGCCTTTAACTAGTTGACATCCGCGGTGTTAAACCCCCTTCCCCTCCAGGCCATTTTTCAGTATTCAGCGCTGCGGTACTTTGACTGACATTTATTCCGTCATGCAGCGCTGTACTGAAATTAATTTTATACCCTTTTTTGGGGACAGATAGAGCTTTCTTTTGGTGGTATTTATTCACCACTGGGGGTTTAATTTTTTTACTATATTAAGGAAAAATT